GAGTTTTGGGGACTTGCCCGGGGGGTTAAATCCCGGCCGGGGGTATGGTTTGAGGTTGAACATTATTTTAAAAAATACCTTTTTGAACAGACTTTAAACTTGTACCACCTGTGGATCAGCACAAAAACACATGAATGCGCTATCACTTGTGGCACACACTACTACATTCACTCAACACAAACTCCACTATATTCAACCAGTACATTCACTCACTTGCATGCTTATGACACTACTACGTCTGCACTCACTTCCCTCAAAATATTCACTCACACACTTCACTACACTCCACCAGACTCACTCAACCAAACATCACACTACACCACCACTACAACCTCTCCACCACCACACCCTCTCCACCACCACACCCTCTCACCACCATACCCTCTCCACCACCACACCCTCTCCACCACCACACCCTCCCACCACCATACCCTCTCCACCACCATACCCTCTCCACCACCACACCCTCTCCACCACCATACCCTCTCCACCACCACACCCTCTCCACACCACACCTCTCCACCACCACATCCTCTCCACCACCACATCCTCTCCACCACCACTCCCCCAACCACCACACCCTCTCCACCATACCCTCTCCACCACCACACCCTCTCCACCACCACACCCTCTCCACCACCACACCCTCTCCACCACTACACCCTCTCCACCACCATACCCTCTCCACCACCACACCCTCTCCACTGCCACACCTTCTCCACGCCACACCCTCTCCACCATCACACCCTCTCCACCACCACACCCTCTCTACCACCACACTCACTCCTTTCCACTACATCAGCTTCATACTGTACTTCTGTAAACACTGATTCTGTGGCATACTCACTTAGTATTATACACCACTATTACTCAGTGACAATCCATATGAGGGTTGAAACAAGACTGGAGAGAGGGGAGGAGAGAGTGATGGAGAGGAAGGGGTTGTAGTTAGGGGGAAAGAAGAGGAAGAAGACATAGGTAAAGAGGGAGAGGAAAAGAGGAGTGGGGTAGGAGTTTGATTTGCATTTAAAGACAGTGATTATGTATGAGTGATGGTGAAATGGTTGAATGATGAAAGTTTTTTCTTTCTTTTTGGGTCCCCCTGCCTTTTTGGGAAATCCCTGTTTTAAAAAAAAAATTATAAAAAATTTATTGTGAATAAAATTGAGTTTTGGGAAGGGATGGTGAAAGGGGGGTCCCCCGGGGCCTTTTGGGGGAAGAGGGCCGATGTGTTAAAAAAAAAAAATAAAAAAATTTTTTTAGAGTTTACCCTGTATAGGGACTATTGTAAGGGGGGATACTTTCTTGACTGTTTAAACCAACTAAAAAAAATTGGGCATGTATACCTTTTAAAAATACAATATTTTATACCGGGTTTTAATGTTGAAAAACAAAAAATCCCCTTTAACCCCCGTAACAGCCCCAAAGGGTAATATATCCCGTTTTTAAAACCGCAAGTGCCCCAAAAAATTTAATTATTTTTTTTTTTTTGTCTTTCAACTTTCCCAAACGAAAGGGCCTGAGTCCCCTTTAGGACATGAGAAAAAGGGGTGTGTCCCCCTCACGTGTGCCATTTTAAAAAAATAATTGGGATGCAGGGGTACCATTTTCCCTTTTTTTTCCTTTTAAAAAAAAAGGGTTTTTTTTTCCTAAAGAAAAAATAAATTTGGGGGCCCTAGGGGAGAGAACTATATATCCTTTTAAAGACTTTTTTGGGGGTTTAAATGAGTTAAAACATAATATACATGTATGTAATTTGTAGCTATTTTTATATTTTTTTAGCTATTTTAAAAAATTGGGGGTTTTTAAAGAACCAATCTGAAGGTAATAAAACTATTCCTTAATCTTTTAATTTTTATTAATTAAAAAAAAAACTTTTTTTCTAAAATTTCTAGTTTTAATTGATTGGAAATTGGGTTTTGATAACTTCCTATTTTATTGGAGAGTTGACAAAGGGGGATGAAATTGATGCTTCTCACTATCCTGTTTTCCACAATAGAAGGCGTCAGACGGGCCCAAAAAAGAAAACGTAAGGGGCCCAATTTTTGTTTTCATTAGTTCGGGGGGGGCCGCGGGGGGGGAAGGAGTAGCAAAATTGATTATTTTTAATTTATCCCAGCTTGAAGAATGAAAAAAAATAAATCGGGGAATGAAATTTATTTTGAAAATGAATTTTTGAGGCAGGTGTTTTTTGGGTTGTTAAAATTAAAATTTAAAAGGAGAATGTGTGTGAGCGTGAAAAGGGGAGTAAGAAAAAAAAAACTGTACTGCAAATTGGGCAAAAAAAAAGAGTTGCCTGGGGAAAAAAGGGGATTATTTCGTTAAAATATACATATTATTAAACCCCGTGACTGTGTTAAGGTAAAAAAGGGACCTTGGGGGTGTTTTTTTCGATGGTTTTTTTTTTTTCACCCTTTTTTTTTATTTTTTTTTTTCTTTTGGGTAGAAAGGAAGCATATTACTGAAATAAAAGATATTTTACAAGTTTCCAGAAACCCCCGGAAAAAGCCCCCCCCTGGCCTTGCCCTGTGTTGGTTTTTGGTGTACTCAAAACCCATTTGTGAACCTGGGGAGGGTGAATCCCCCAGCTCCTGACCCCCCGCGTGTGGGGCACATCCCCGAGTTTTTATTTTTTCCTTTTTTTTCTATTTCTACCATTGCTTTTATATTTTTAAAAATTTAATACATATTCACCTTTTGATCCCGAACAAATTTTCAGTAATTTTTTTAAATGCAGGTGAATTTTTTTTTTAAAAAGATTAAAACAAAAAATACTTTTTTAACATTGTATTTTTTGATAAATATTTTTAACATAAATTTAAAATTGTATTTTTCCCCAGATACAGTAATAAATTACTGTTTAAAATTTACTCTGTGTTTTTTAAATTTCAAAAAAATTACCCTATGCAAAAAATTTTTAGATTTTTTGGAAAATCCCCCAAAATAGGATATTTTTTTGGATTTTGGAAGGGGGGAAGGGGGGCGCACCAACAGGGAAACAAAAAGGGTTCACATTGCTCAAAATTCTGCAAAAGCTGGGGTCCCCGATTTAAAAAGGGGAGCCCCTTAAATACTTATTTGGTCCCAAAGGGAAATACTTTGACATTTTGTAGAATGACAAACCCAAATTTTTATATATTTAAGAAAATATTCCATAAGATTTGCCACATGTGTGATTTTTAATGCAAAAAGGGGGGGGGAAAAATTTCCCCAAAAAGGGTTTTTCTCTCCTCTTTAAAAAATAAATCCATTGAAAAAGTTGTTAAAATTTCTCAAAACCAATTTAAAACTTTTTTCCCCCCTTTTAAATTCAAAATTTTGTAAAATTTTTTTTCCCCTTATCAAATGAAAAATTTCCCCAAAAACCTTTAAAAGTTTTTTAAAATGGGAATTTAAAAATTTTAAAACCCTTTGGGGGGACCCCCCCAAACCTCGGTCCCAAATTTTTGTAAAAAAAAAAAATTATTTTTTTTTTAAAACCCAAAATGATTAAATAACTTTTTTTTCCCCTTTGTTTTTTTCCTTCCCTTTTTTTTCCCCTATTTCGGTTTTTTCCTTTTTTTTTTTCCCTTTCCTTTTCCCCATCATAATGACAAAAAGTTGAAATTTGATGGAAAACTTAAAGGAATTATGCCCCTTGCGAAGTTAGGGTCTTGACGATGTTATCATCAGTGGGTTTCGCCCCCTTTGAGCCCCATTTTTTGGCTAATTCCCCAAAGTACCCTTTGACTAAAATTTATAACTATTTTTCCCCTAGAAAATTCCATTTTTTTCTAAACGAAAGAGTACAAGAAACCACCCCTTTTTTAACCCCATTTCCCCCTATCCAAATAAGTGGTTTCCAAGTTGGCAATTTTTTCCAAATTTTACACAAATTTCAAAAAGATGCCAAATTTCCCCAAAAAGGGCCAATAAACAAAAAACTTTTCCCGGGACTCGTTACATTTCTTTTTTCTTCCCCCTTTGAATTTTTTTTTCCCCACAAAATTAAAGATTTAAATGTTTTTGCAACTACGCATTATTTTAGAAAAGGTATAAATTAAAACACGCACTTTTTTAAAGAATATTAGAAATCACCAGTTGAAATGTATTGACATTGGGTTGATTTATTTTCTTTTGAACTTTTGGGGAAAAAAACAAAACATTTCTGGGTACTTTGAGCCCCAAAATTTTAAGGTACTTTTTATTTTGAAACCCCAAAAAAAATCATCCCCAAATTTTTATAATATGTCTCTTCCCTTTTTAAAATGAGACCAGGAAAAATAAAATACAACCATAAAAAAAGCATACGAAAATACACTGCAAAGTTGCTGTTTTTTAAAATAAAAAACACAGTCGGGGTTTTTTTTTCTCATTATGCCCCTGTGTGTTGCAGGGTTTTTTTTTTTCCCGCACACACTGACCACATAAACCCATTCTTTCATGTCCAAGGCCTACCAGCTTTTCTCTCGCTAGATTTGGAGGGATTTGAATTTTATGCGTACTATAACGGCCCCAAACCCCGGCCGGGAAACCGTACTAATAAGGGACCAACCCCGAAAGGGGTTTAAAACATCCCGTTTAAAAAAAAAGTTTTTTCCTCATTTTTTACAGTGTTTGTCACTTTTTATGGGGGGGACATAAAAACCATGTTTTACAAGTAAAATCACATGAAAATTTTCAATAGGGTAGCCTTTTTATAAATAAAGAATCACACCTTTTAAGATGTTGAAGCAAGGTTTGGGGGATGCAAAACTTCCCCCTTTACAAAATCCATCATGGGGAAATGGAAAGGGAAAGATTTAATTTAAAGAACTTTGGGGGGAACTCTGGGGTGTGGGATCATTGAACAAGAGATTCTTTCCAACAGTAAGGTCACTTCTAACTTCTCAAAAATGTATGTTTTTCATACATTTTTCTAATAAATTTATGTGCTCTTGAACCTGTATCTTTTCAATAATATGATTATTTACAGAATTTTGAGTCCTGGCAAAAATATTAAATAGAAAATGCATGTGTAACCAGTCCTTTAATTTTCAGTAAGCATAAAGAAATACTTATTACACAAAATTCTTGAAAACTCATCTATTTAATTTTCATTAGGCTATAAAAATTATTCCACAAAATTTGTAATATTGTATACAAATACTGTACTCTACATGGAATTTAAAAATTATAATAATTACAGTACTCCAAAGTGTGCACACTAATTCATGCAAAGCAGAAACTAATGTGCAATAATATTGATATTACATTATAGATTGAAACCTATTTCTTTTTTTTATCTCATTGTCCATCTCTCATTAAGGATGATTCCTCCCAAATAAAAAGGAAAAACATTCACTATCAGTTTGCTAAATGGCTGTCTTGCCAGAAGTGAGCTGACAATACAGTTCAAATGATCCTTCAGACAGTGACATTCCTGCCCCACCTTTAGAGTGCATGCACTGTACTTCCCACATTCAGGACTCACATCCAGCTAATTGGTTTTCCTGAGTTCTTTTGTAAATATTACATTGCTTACAGGATATTCATTAAAAACTACTTGTCTCTACTCTGATCTAACATGCTCACACAACTCTGCTGGGTGCTCAAGCCCCTAACACTCAAAATCATTCATGGGATAACCAATATCCATCATCACTTTCACCCCAGATTTATACATACACCTCTCTTAGTCATCCTATCCTGCTCCCTCTTTAAATACTCAAGCTACCTCAAATATGACTCCTCCTGAATTACACTTTTTGGTAGCCCTGCATCATCTCTTCTCCACATCCTAATTCTCTGAATAATCTTCATGCTTCACATTGTCCTCAAACATGATATATCTGTGTCTCCGGCCTCCTCACTGCAATATTTACAGCAAATATTTCACACCCATATAACAGTGTTGGTACCATTGTATGCTGGTACCTTTCTCTTATGCCTTCATGGATAATGTTCTTTATCTCCACAGATATCTCAACATACCAACAATTTTTTTTTTCCCTTGTTGGTTCTGTAGTTCACCCCATCTTTTTCATAGAACTACCAGCTGACAAATCCACTCCCAAATATCTGACTACTACTTTATATATATATATTTCATTATGCTGGACCCAGATGCCTAGTAAATACATTATCAATACTGTAACACAAATTTTATTATTGTGGACCTACTTTGCAACATTATACATATTTATATTACACTCTGAATATATTTTAAAAGTTTGGTTCCTTTAAGCCTTAAATTAGTTGTGACATACATTAACCCCTTAATTGTCCGAACGTAGATCTATGTTCTTACCGCTAGCGCTCCAAACGTAGATCTACGTTTTACTTTTCCTGCCTCCAAATTTGGCACAATTGGCCTAAGATGCCTGGCCAGCATAGAATGGGTCTTAACCCTCGGTGTGTGCTGTATTAAAAAAATTTGGGACCATTTAGTACCTTCTGGGAGCACCAGTTTAATTGAGTGCCATCTAGAGCAAACAGCACGGCAGACACCAAAGATTCACTGATGTCATGTCATATTAACACTTCCTTTCAAGAGGAGTGTCATCTTGCCATAATGTCCTATAACCTATGCCCTAAGTAAAAAGAAACAAGTCTGGAGCTGTAATTTTGGCAGGCTGGCTGGCCAGCTGGCCAGCTGGCTAGCTGGTGGCTGGCTGGCTGGCTGGCTGGCTGATTGACTGTCTCTATCTCCATCTGTCTGTCTGTATCTATCTCTGTCTCTATCTCACAGGCACATATACATAAATACAATTATACTTAGTGTAAATTACCTAGGATAATCCATAAAATCCAGACAAAGTGCTATTCTGGAACTGTAATTTAAGATTAGATAAGACGACACTCATCATTGTCAGCAGTGGAGTGAAGAGATAAGATAAGACAAGTGACACACTCTTACATCAAGCTTCAAGGGTGCTGCTGCTGCTGCTGCTGCCGCTGCCGCTGTCACTGCCGCCGCCGCCGCCGCCGCCGCCGCCGCCGCCGCCGCCGCCGCTGCCGCCGCCGCCGCCGCCTCCGCCTCCGCCTACCGCCTCCGCCTCTGCCTCCTCCTCCTCCTTCTCCTCCTCCTCCTCTGCCTCCTCCTCCTCTGCCTCCTCCTCCTCCTCTTCTTCCTTCGTCATCGTCGTTGTCTTCTTATTATCCAAAACATTGCTGGGACCTATAAATACCATGTATATATTTCTAGACAATAGTATGTGACTAAGGTAAGTAAAAATGTTCACCTGTCACTGTGTTTGTGACTATTTGAGCACTATTTCAGTACCTAATATTAGTATCAGAACAAAGATTAAGGATAAAATCACAAGAACTACTACAAATTGTCATTACCAGAACAGTAGGTTGGTATACAGCAACCACCCAGGGAGGTACTACCGTCCTGCCAAGTGAGTGTAAAACAAAAGCCTGTAATTGTTTTACATGATGGTAGGATTGCTGGTGTTTTTTTGTCTGTCTCATAAATATGAAAAAGTACAGGTATGTCTTGCTACTTCTACTTACACTTAGGTCACACTACACATACATGTACACGTTTATTTATACACACTCATCTGAGTTTTCTTTGATTTTATCTTAATAGTTCTTGGTCTTATTACTTTTCCTTTTATATCCATGGGGAAGTGGAATAAGAATCTTTCCTCCATAAGCCATGCGTGTTGTAAAAGTCAACTAAAATGCCGGGAACAATGGGCTAGTAACCCCTTTTCCTGTAAAGATTACTAAAAAGAATAAGAAGAAGAAAATTGTCAAAGTGGGAAGTCTGAATGTGCGTGGATGTTGTGCAATGATAAGAAAGAGATGATTGTGGATGTTATGAATGAGAAGAAGCTGGATGTCCTGGCTTTAAGTGAAACAAAGCTGAAGGGGGTGGGAGAGTTTCAATGGAGTGGAATAAATGGGATTAGGTCAGGGGTTTTAAATAGAGTTAGAGCTAAAGAAGGAGTAGCAATAATGTTGAAGGTTAAGTTATGGCAGGAAAAGAGGGACTATAAATGTATTAATTCAAGGATTATGTGGAGTAAAATAAAGGTTGGATGTGAAAAGTGGGTTATAGTAAGCGTATATGCACCTGGAGAAGAGAGAAGTGTAGAGGAGAGAGAGGAATTTTGGGAAATGTTGAGTGAATGTGTTGGGAGTTTTGAACCAAGTGTGAGAGCAATGGTGGTTGGGGATTTCAGTGCTAAAGTGGGCAGAAATGTTGTGGAGGGAGTAGTAGGTAAATTTGGGGTGCCAGGGGTAAATGAAAATGGGGAGCCTTTAATTGAGCTATGTGTAGAAAGAGGTTTGGTAATAAGTAATACATATTTTATGAAGAAGAGGATAAATAAATACACAAGGAATGATATGGCACGTAATGAAAGTAGTTTGTTAGATTATTATTTTTTTTTTCTTATTCGCCGGTACTCTCCCGGCCCGGGTCTTTTCCAAGTAGTGGTGACCCGGCCTTGGCTCCCTATCTGGGGAGTATCTCGAGACCTAAGTCTCCCATGGGAGGAGGTACAAGTACCCCCTCATCTATGGGACCAAGTGTCCCCGGGCTTAGCCACAGTCCCCGCCCTCACGGGGCTCGTAGGGAGAAGCTAGGCCTCTGGTCTGCCATCTGCCCCGCCCCAAAGGGGCTCGTGGGTATGGCAGTCTTATGAGCTGCAGGTGATAGCAAGCTCAGGCCTTCTTGTTAGATTATGTATCAGTGGATAAAAAGTTGATGGGTAGGCTCCAGGATGTACATGTTTATAGAGGGGCAACTGATATATCGGATCATTATTTAGTTGTAGCTACAGTTAGAGTAAGAGGTAGATGGGAAAAGAGGAAAATGGCAACAAGTAAGAGGGGGTGAAAGTGTATAAACTAAGGGAGGAGGAAGTTCGGATGAGATATAAGTAACTATTGACAGAAAGGTGGGCTGGTGCAAGTATGAATAATGGGGGCATTGAAGAGGGTTGGAATAGTTTTGAAAATGCAGTATTAGAATGTGGGGCAGAAGTTTGTGGTTATAGGAGGGTGGGATCAGGAGGAAAGAGGAGTGATTGGGGGAATGATGAAGTAAAGGGTGTGATAAAGGAGAAAAAGTTAGCTTGTGAGAGGTTTTTACAAAGCAGAAGTGTTATAAGAAGAGTAGAGTATATGGAGAGTAAAAGAAAGGTGAAGAGAGTGGTGAGAGAGTGCAAAAGGTGAGCAGATGATAGAGTGGGAGAGGCACTGTCAAGAAATTTTAATGAAAATAAGAAAAAATTTTGGAGTGAGTTAAACAAGTTAAGAAAGCCTAGGGAACGAATGGATTTGTCAGTTAAAAACAGAGTAGGGGAGTTAGTAGATAGGGAGATGGAGGTATTAGGTAGATGACGAGAATATTTTGAGGAACTTTTAAATGTCGACGAAGAATGGGGGGCGGTAATTTCATGCACTGGCCAGGGAGGTATACCATCTTTTAGGAGTGAAGAAGAACAGGATGTGAGTGTGGGGGAGGTGCATGAGGCATTATGTTGAATGAAAGGGGGTAAAGCAGCTGGAACTGATGGGATCATGACAGAAATGTTAAAAGCAGGGGGGGGGGGATATAGTGTTAGAGTGGTTGGTATTTTTGTTTAATAAATGTATGAAAGAGGGGAAGGTACCTTGGGATTGGCAGAGAGCATGTATAGTCCCTTTATATAAAGGGAAGGGGGACAAAAGAGATTGTAAAAATACAGAGGAATTAGTTTACTGAGTATACCAGGAAAAGTGTACGGTAGGGTTATAATTGAAAGAATTGGAGGTAAGACAGAATGTAGGATTGCAGATGAGCAGGGAGGTTTTAGAGTGGGTAGGGGATGTGTCGATCAAGTGTTTACATTGAAGCATATATGTGAACAGTATTTAGATAAAGGTAG